AGGGCAAATAGGCGTAACGGATAATAGCGGCTGGGAGAAACTGCTGCTACACGGGACCACTGAAGGTGACTATATAAATGATCACGGGTATATATATATACAGATAGGTCTGGAAATAATTGGACACTGACAGAGTTTTCATAATTCTGGCTCTGTCAGCCACCACAATTGAATTGGAAATGAAACGGCCGAGATGCAGCTAGTGCAGATTCATCTTTAATTCAAAGGGTTGAACAAAAATATCCTCTGAAACGTTTAGGAATTTCAACCATTTTCATCCATAGTCCCCTTATTCCAGGGGCTCAAATGTAATTGGACAAACTAACACAATCATCAATAAAATGTTCATTATTTAATACTTTATCAAGAATTAATTTGCAGGCGATGACTGCTTGAAGTCCGGCATGCATGGACATCACCAAACATTGGGTTTCCTCAATTGTGATGGGTTGCCAGGCCTTTACAGCTGTCTTCAGTTGTTTGTCTGTGGGTCTTTCTGTCTTAAAGACTTATTAAATCCTCATTTGTTTTTGCATATATCTACTGCTAGCAAGCAGTAGATATATGCAAAATGATTTAAAACAAACAAAAAAAACTTTTGCAAAGGGTTAATACTTACCTGTGTCTCCACCGCGCGCTCCCCTCCCAACATCTGAAAATTTATTGGGAGGCCCCAAAAGATCTTGGGGCAGGCGCATGCGCAGTTCAGATGTTTGGCTAGGAGATGAGGAGAGGCACAAGGCAAGTATACGAAGCAGCGTGCACCCACACAGAGAAGAGGAAGACAGAGGAGTCCGCGCTGGATCAGAGACCTGCACCAGCGCTGGAGGGACAGCTGAAAACGACAGTAAGATGATGATTGGATTAAGAGGCATCATTTAAGGTAAGTCCCTACACTAACATTGGGGGGAGGGAAAAAAATCCTTTAATGTCACTTTAAGATTTGAAAATGAAAGAGAGATGCTGATTGGTTGCCATGCACAGCTGCTCCAGATTTTGTCTGTTCCAGTTTTGATAAATCCCCCACACTGAATACACTTTGGAGCAATGGTGGCAACTTATGTGTCCTAAAAATTGTATTATGTGTGCCAGATATATGAAATCAATAAGATATAATAGTGACTAATGGAGGTACCTTTGCAGAATAGAAGGACCGATGTTAGTCGCATATTTTACTTCTCTATGTATATTTCACACTTTTGTGGTATAAAAAATTGAATACAACTTAAAAAAAAAAAATGTGTTATGAGTCGGCGTCTAAACCCCCCTCCCCCCCAGTTGTGATGAAACTTTGTTCAAAGTGGTGCAAGTAAACCGAAGGGAGCCAGAAATCAACTAAAGAGCGGGAGAAGGTGCCGGCTTTGATTTTTGAGTCTAGGTCTGCTTGAATAGATCAGAAACTCCTTTAAGAAGTGGATATTGAAATCTAAACCTTGTGATCTGTATTACTATATAGAACAGTTTCTACATCTATAATAATAGTCAGAAATGTTTTTTCAGCTTCAATATTCCAGCTTTTGTTTGCCTCTAAACTTGAGAGGAACATCATTTATGTACTCTCTTGTTAACAGATTTTACCTTGAGTCTGACACAGAGGTGACAGTGATGCATTGTCCTCTGGAGTTGTCGTGACAAACAGAAATTTACTAAGGCTGCGGGAGCAAAAGCGAGCTGTATGCGAGAACCTTATTCCTATGCAACCCTCAAGTTCTAACTTTGGGCTGCAAGCAGGAAAAGAATGTGATTGCCAAGGAAATGTTCTTTCTGGATTAAAGGAACACTGTATACTATTAAAATGATCCTAAAAGGCAATATTAAAGACAATGTGAACCCTGATTGGTATTTCAGTTTTCGCCTTCAAATGTGTTTCCTTTTTTTAAAATATTTTTCCTTTTTGCCCCTTTATATTCTTTGTTGCATCTCAATGCTGAAGATCTCCTGCGTCATCCACTTCTTGTCTCATCAACGATGGCTGCATGGCATGGGGCTTCCTGATGGTGACAACAGTGGGCCGCGTCTATCTAATGTGTGTTGAAATAGCAAGTTGTAGTCCCCTTCAGAAGCCAGGGTGACAACACAGGAGAACAAATGGAATACAGGAAAAGAACGCTCATTGTCCCCCTATAAAAGGAAGTACCTGCTGAAGATCTCCTGCATCATCCAGTTCCTGTACCATCAGCGATGGCTGCATGCCATTTCTCAGGAGGGGTTTCCTGATAGTGACAACAGTGGGTCATGTCTACCTAATGTGTGTTGAAATAGACGGTTGTAGTCCCCATCATAAGCTAGGGTGACAACACAAGAGAACAAATGGAATACAGGAACATAATGTTTGTTGTCACCCTACAAGAGTAAGTTCCTGAAAAAGTACCCTCGTGGTGGATCATCAGGTATGGTTTTAATAAAAGACTTGCAGATTTTTAAAATATTAAAAATGGCTTTTGAAATGACATTACATTCACGGTAGAGCTTATACACACGTTTAGTGATTGGGATTACATCTACTTTAAGCATTTATGACCAACTATGTTTTGTGCCTCCATGAATGCAGTCCTTCTGGTCAGAAGGCTTTAAGGAGAACTATGGGGTTAAGTCTTTTCCCCATAGTTCTCCTTAAGGTAACGGGAGGACACAAACTAGCGTCCTCCCGTCACCCTAAGCTCAGTATCCCGCGAGCTGTAGCTCACAGTATACTGAGACGCCGCAGTACACCGCGAGCTGCTGCTCGCGGTTTACTGAGGCGCCGCAGCGGATCCCGACAATTGTGCCGGGATTCGCCCAGCTGCGTGACTGACAGCTGGCTCTGCCTATCTAGAGGCAGAGCCTGCTGTACCAGCCCCCTCCGCCGTCCGATCCACCAGTCAGCGCTGGCGGATCGGAGCGGGGAGGGTGGAATCTAGCCCCTCCCCTGTCACAGCAGAGAGCCGTGACAGGATCGAGAGGTGAGCGAACGCCGGTATGTGTTCCCTCACCTCACGATCTACTGAGCCGACCTGTGACAGCCTCATTGTCACAGGTCGGCTAGAACTATGAGGTGAGTGGAAATCACTCACCTCATAGTTCTCCTTTAAGTGTTTGTTCTTTTTGCGACATCATTTACTCATATTGATTGCTATACTAAGTATGGCGTTAGTTTAGTGATTGCACTGTGAACCCGCAGAAGCTCCCCAAAGCTCTCCGCACACTTGTAACTGTTTCACTTCTGGAATTATCCTTATTATTAGCAGGTGGCTAAACGCGTAGCCTTTGCTTCCTGATTATGGATACCAGTGGAAAGAAGACCCGCTGTAAGGAATCCCCGCTGACCGCTCATGCGCCAAGCGCGCGTTCTTGTACTGTTCAGGACCGCGCTGTTCCACGCATGCGCAGACGCTATTGACCTCCAACACGGAAAAGCGCCAAAGTGGCGCGCAGGAAGTGACTCATCACAGCTATCACTTCCCCTATATAAGCTCGATCACAGCACCACCATGTTGCTGGATTGTTGTCAGCTATCTCCTGTTCCTGTGCTCCTGTTATCCTTGCTTGACTCTTTGTGACCCGGAAGTTTTATTGTTATCCTTTATGCAGACTTTAGCCTCTGTGTGTGAAAGGTGAACACACAAAAGAAGCACCGCTCCTCCACGGCTCAGGAAACGAATAGGAGCACGTCCTTGCTCCAACATGAGCCCATACAAACAAAACCACACACTGGGATAGTTTATTGAAGCTTGTACCACATCACTGATGTCCTGCCAAAGGTCCACCCCCACTGATGCATTTCACCCAGTTACGGGCTTAGTCATAGAGATCTATCACTAAGCCTGTGATTGGATGAAACGCATCAGTGGGTGGAGCACATTTTGCTGGGATAGTTTACTGAAGCTTGTACCATATCACTGATGTCCCACCAAAGGTCCACCTGGATGCGTTTCACCCAATCACAGGCTTAGTCATAGATTTCTATGTCTAAGCTCGTAAGTGGGTGTAATGCATCAAAGGAGGTGGACCTTGAGGGGGACATCAATGATGTGGTACAAGCTTCAATCAATTATCCCAGTGGACTCTGGGGTGCGACCAGCTTTTCTTCTTTCTGTGTGTGACGTTACATTTAAAAGAGCACACCAGGATTTTTAAAGTGCATGCTTTAAAAAGAAACCTGCCCACACTTGGTAGGCAGAGGTCAAGCAGGAGAGGCTCAGCTAAGGTGAATCAGTAGATGATTTCATTCCGCAGCTCTTGTTTCTGTGTTTTGGTTTCTATACACATGATTTTTGACACAGGAACGAAGGCGTGTGCTGCATAGAAATCATTTGGTCCCCAGTAAGGCCTCACTGACACGAGAAACGGCCGGCCCGTACAGCTCCGTGCTGCGTGCACGGCCGTATCGGGCAGTTCCCGGGAAGGACAGGTGCTGCGTGTGATTAGTACGCAGCCCCTGTCCTTCTCTATGGGACTATGTGGCCGTACGCTGATGGGATGGATCCTGTCTGAGCTGGGACACCCGCACCTGTACGGACCTGCACTTGGGGTGATGTAAGCAAATGTCTATTTAACGTTCAAAGATACGTTTTAGGGGTTGCGGGTGTAATTTACTTAGATTTAAATGCTAACTGTATGACTTTTCTTTTGCTAAGCCATTTATTTTTCCCCGTAAAATACTGTTTTCAATTTTTATTATCCTTTGTAGCACCTTGGTGCTGCTGATCTCCTTCAGCCTCCTTCGAGTACTTCCTGTCTACATCCACTCCAGCCAACATCAGCTGCCTATCATTGCTCAGTGCAAGGGCAGCAGTACCCAATGAAGGGCATGTGCATAATAGGTCAAACCGCAATGCCAGGAATGGGACCATGCCATCCTATGATCAACCTTTGGATTTTGACAATGAACATGACACACAGGCTAGGTTTCAGGATGTTGATTAACTTAACCTTTACTTAACGCTGAATAACAAACAGCAGATTTCTAAAGAGTTTATGCACATCAGCTCAAAACACCAGCAACAAAATGATGCAATCTATTTCTCTAACTTTTTCAGTTCCCTCTACTAGAAGCCGGAGAGTTTCACCACGTTGGGGTAGCGAGTGCGGTGGGCCATGCATTTCTCCCGGTCAATAAACAGAGTGTTGGCTTTGTTAGCGATATCCTTCTCCAGAGACATCCTGGTGTCCTCCAAGTTGCGGAGACACTGCTCCGCCTCCTCCAGCTTCTGCTTGAGGAACTCTACAGACTCCGTTAGCTCTCCCACTTCACTCACCAGCCTGAATCAAGACAGAAATGAAGATTGATGTACATAGTATGAGATGTCATAAGGGAATATAAGCAACAGGTCTGTCCCAGTCAATTCCAGTCTCAGCTCTGTTTTCCATCATTTTCCCATAGTAAAATCCAAAATCACTTTTCTATAACTTTGTGGAAACACCCATGATGATGTATCTTCAATTAAATTCAACTTACAATCATAACTATGCTATTGATAGTCAGTGAAAATCATCAAATAATGCCCACACATGGTTCCATCATTCAATACAATCAGATTTAACACACATGGGCACATTTTATTACATATGCTTATGCTTAATATTAGTGTTCTATTCTAATGATGTGTATACTGTTCCTTCAGGGACAGAAAACAAGACCTGGTGGTAGTGGG